GCGTTCCGCTACGGCTTCGTTTGCTAGTATTAGGAATATGTTCATTATAACACGAAGCGCTAGACTGCTGACCTTCGAATTCGTGGTAAGTATAGTGTTTCGTTCTGGTGTGATTATAGTGTTGTTACTAGCTGCGAGAGGGATCTCCAAGTTTATTGCAATGTGCGACGGACAAACTCCAGGTAATTCAACCAGTCTGCCTGCTGGCTGAATCGCGACCGAAAAAACGTATGCCGGTTCATCTTTCCTGTTTCATTCCTTTGAGTCTGGCGTGAGCGAGGCGCATGTGTCGAGTAATTAACAACTGGGGCAACCGTCCTATCCAATCAAGGGGTTCGGCCCACTTCGAGATGTATGCATGGGGTTACTAACTGTCGCGTTAAGCGTTTCAACCAGAGGTAGGCGGGCCAACCATTTCAAAGATCCAGTCCCACTTGGTGCCGGCTGACTTTCGCCAGTATTAGCACAACTAAGGTTTGAAATATGTTGTACATTCTGTTTATTTCTTGGTTTTGGCTTCACACAACTGACGTTTGATTGTGGGCGAAAAACAGCTTGGGAATGTTGATGGGAATTACTTTGTTTTACAGAACTGACTAAGTTGTAATGATGAGCGTAATACTGCTTTGATTCATGTTTAGCAGAACCAGCGCCTACGCTAAGGGGTTTTGTTGTGTTAGCAGTCGATCCAATTTTAATTACTTCAGGATTGGCCTTGGGAGTTTCTAATTTATGGTCGGAGGTGGATTTGCATACTTTATAATGATTCTGTTGACCTTTATTTATTCCTGGTGCACCTTCGATTTGCTGAGTAACGTGTTTGTTAGAATTAGGGTAGGCCTGGAGCGTTAACTTGTTATTTGGCTTGTTACTGCTAACAGAACAAAACTGGGCTACTCCGGGAGGGTTGGTATTTTGTTGGCAGAGATAATTACGATATTAGATATTACTAGCTTTAGTTGTGATTAACAACATGTAAAGTTTGTCCAATGGTCGTTTGTTTTACTAATTTTTGACCAATTAATAAGCATGTTTTTGTTTTAGAAATTGATATTCAAATTCCCCGCCATATTTTCATAATTTGGTGCATGCGCAGACGTTTTTCCGCGCTGTTCTCCCATATACTTTATAGTAATATTTGGTCGCCATATTTTGTCAAAGTGCGCATGTCCGTCGCCATCTTGTCCCATATTTCTGGTAATAGTTATAGCTGTATACTGAGTATGTCAAATTGCTACACCTTTTGGGGTTCTAAATAATGCTTGTCGCAAATCGCAAATCATGCATAGTTATATAGCCGGATAGAGAATGCTGTCAAGACTGAAAGACAGCGAAATGTATGAATTCATGCATGCAGTATTTAATAAAATATATAAAAGTGTATTGAATATATAAGTGTATTGAACGTATTGAGCGTTTGTATGTTTCAATTCACTGTTTCAGTTTACAGTCGATTTAATTGAGCTAGTATTTAGTGTGCATACTTCACGAAGCATCAGTATATACACGCTTAATTTTGTCGCGGTTGTTCGCAAGTGTTCATTATAAATTAATCTCGCCACAATCCTGGTAAAAAATGTTGGCGCACTTGACACTGACTGTGCGAAATTTGACTCCCACATCAACAACAATGCATAGCAATGCCCTTTCCCCTGTTCAATGTTGAGTGTAATGTGTTATACGTCCAAAGGTGTTACACAACATTGGGAAGGGGGATAGGTGGTGTTTGGACATGAAATTTTGCATAGAATGGGCAAGTATGTATGGATTGTAGGTTTCAACATCAAGGTAGTTGAGACGGCAGGCAACACATTGAAGAGGATGTTACAACGATCAGATCCGCTCAAGCCATTAACTGTGGCAAGAAGTCTTTCTTGTTTAGTGTGTACAACAGGGCGGAAAGGACCTTGTGGTGGACATGTAAACCATAAATTTTTATATGATGGTAATTGGCAGATAATTTTTTTGAGAATATATCTTCATTACTCGCTTATAAGACTTTTTACCAATTTTTTATGATCATTTTTTGGCCAGATTTATGCTTCACACAGTTTCAAGCTAGCGATATATTTGGAGCGGTATATCCATTTTAGAAGACACGGGACGCGCGCAATGAGTTGTAGGGTATCGCGTATCAAATGTCAAATGTGATTTGCAAAATATATTTGGTTGAATATGTTTCGCGCTCAAGAAAAATATGGTTTTTATCATATTTTGTATTGGATAGGTGACTCCGGTTTGCTTTATTTATTCAGATTTGTTAATATACAAGTAAAATTTCGACTACAATATTATAATTACTAGAAAATACATGCATGCCGAAACTCTTGCCTTGCTGACAAAACTATTGTATTTTCCGAACATGAAGTATCTAAAGTAGTTGCCATGGTAACACGATAAGTTTTAAAGAATATTCTTACAAATGAAAAATCGCTTAAAACTATCATTATTAATTACAAAATTATCAATTTCCCAACATATATATGTTAGGTATGATATTATAGGTACTATAAGCTCCAATTTAAGGTAAAATTCAACCACAAACGCTTCGCAAAACGTTTTAAAGTGTTCTTTATAAAACTAAACTGCCTTTATATATTCTTTAATTAAATGGCTTTATCGATAAACTTTGAGTTTGCAATAGAATGATTTCTTTTTTTATTTAAAAAATTCAATATAATAAAAAAGGGAATCAATATTAAAGATACACTGAAATGGGGCCCGATATGCTGTCTTGTTTAGTTGCTTCATATACGCAAAGGCCGTCGGGTTTTAAAGCAATTATAAAATTAATATTTAAAACAAACTTACTTTCGTTAACGTCGGCTCCCTTCTTTTAGCCGATTCTTTCGACATTTCCTTCTTGAAATTTACGAAATCTTGCAAAAATGCGAGCAAAAATGAAATATATTTGCAAGAAATTTATCAATCATCAAATCAAAAAATGTTTGCTATTTCGCTGTCGTCATGCATTTGTTATAATGCAAACTTTAAATTGGACCAATCACAGTGTTTGCTATTCATGACAGTCCGCCATAATTTTGAGATCAGTGAGGATGACCACCCACGGTTGGTGACCCACGCCCGCAATATTTGATGAACTTTTGACTTCGCTAATGCTTTCGCTTCCTCGGGTGTAAATAGCTGGGGGGATTAGTACCCTCACACCGTCGGCTCGGGGACAAAAAGGGCTTTCAGGCAAAGTTGGTAGTTTAATTGCAGCTTTCGTAAGATCGAAACCCGACAGCACAACAAGGCAGCGCTCTTCACGATTGAATCCCATTTTACTGTAAAACGTTTTTGGCCATAAATATTAGCGGTTTACTGTACAAATAAAACAGATTTCTCGTGTGGTTGCCAGACAGCACACTCTGAACGACAATGTTTTAAACTCAATCCTGGTCAAAAATCCTTGGCACACTTAGTCGAAATAGCATAACCTTTAGTTCATTTCTGATTACCATATGCATACTTGCCCATTTTATGCAAAATTTCATGTCCAAACACTCCCTATCCCCCTTATTAATGTTGTGTAACACTTTGGACTGCACACTTCAGAGCAGGTGTCACCAATGACGTCACCATGTGAAGTCATGCTTGAATTGTTGTTAGTAAGCTCTTTCAAATTAAAATCAGCCATAACCTATTGTAGTAATTCGCTGATGCGACACGAATGGCAACCTCGTTCCCGGGCTCTTTCCTCTTTGTGGAGGAAAGAAGTCCACCGGCTTTTCTGGACATGAAAATATTGAATATTAGAATTATTACTGGAACTTGGCATATATTTGGCCAATCTTTGTTTGTACCTTTGCTCATTTTGTTCCAAAGGCATTTTGGAGTTCTCGACTTTACATTTCATCTACTTCGCTCCTTCAGCACATCGAGTACAAATTTGGAATCTATTTCAAATTTCAATACTGCACACTTTCGCATTCAATACTGCACATTTTTTATTCAATACTGCACAAAGTGTGCAATACTGCACACTAAAATAGGCCGTGCTTGAGTTAAAATGTAGAAATAATGAAACCAATATATATAGAGAGAGGCGTGCAGCATCAGCACAATATAAGTAAGGACGGTGTATATAAGGACGGAAGGACAAAATTTAATCAGGTAGAAAAGGGTCGTCAATATAGAAATATTCTTTGCAACGAACATTACAAACCATGACAAGCAGTTTCCAAACAGGGTTGAGTATAGAACTCTGCTGAAAACACACTTTCATAAAGTACTCGTCTTTTGCTATATACTCCATAGCGTCGTTTCGTAATTGAGATATTGTGTTTGCAGACTTTTGTTTAGATTTATATTTTTTACAGATTTTTGGCTTGCTCTTTATAATATAGAGCATTCATGCACTGAAGCTATATAACAGCCCACTTTGGTAACACAAAACATTAATTAACCAATAACACGTTAATTTTAATCCGTTTTAAATATGTGTTCCAAAATGTAATCCGTATATACAGTACTCGTATACTATATTCCCGTCGCATGGAATTTGTAAACAAGTTTGAATATAAACTACATGCAGTGCAGCTTAGAAAAGCGATCACATGGGCATAAGTGTTTCCCAGTTCTGTCTTCACGTTTGGCTTCGCGTAAAATATATAATATACGTTAATTTACTATTTACATCCATGCTTTAATAACAATGGGTAGCGATTTTCCTTTCGAAAATTAATAGCGTTTTGCTTTCTCTAATAATTTCTGGCAAAGAGTTCCATATGACAGCTCCGTCATACATGAAACTCTTCTTTAAACTGTTCGAACGTGGAATAACTGAAATAGGGTTGGATCAAAGCATTGTATACCGATATGAGTGTTTTTATATCAACAAATGTTTTAATTTGTTTGAGAGCATATATCCCAGATGATATTTTACTACATATCCTCTCAGTGTTACTTTTCCAAGAAAGATTTTCGTCAATAGTAACTCCTAAAGTTTTGCATTGAAAAACTTGCTTTATTGGTTTACTTAGAATAGTAACTGCTGGCTAGTAATCACAAACTTTTTTAAGCATATGTTTAGTGCCAATTAATTGAAATTCAGTGTTCGCTACGTTTAAGCTCAGTTTATTTGCCATAAGGCACTTTCGAAGTCTTTCTAAATCCGAATTTACTGCAGATTCAATATCATTCATGCAATTTCCGGATGCTGTAATATTTGTGTCGTCTGCAAACATCCGGGTTCTAGTTTCATTTAGACAAGATGATAGATCGTTAATATATAGCAGAAAGAATAATGGTCCTAACATTGAGCCTTGGGGTACGCCACATTTTACAATATTTTCTTTAGAAGTAGAGCCGTTCATTTTACATTTTTGGGTACGATTGGATAAATATGATGTTAGGAGTTGAAATGCACTGCCCGTAATTCCAAATAGTAATAGCTTTTCCATTAGGATGTCGTGGTTAACAGTGTCGAATGCTTTTTTTAAGTCTATGAATACAACCAAATTAAACAATTTTCGATCCATGTTTAAATACCAATCATTTGTGCAGTCAAGTAATGCTGACGCAGTCGAGTGAAACTTTTGGAAACCAAACTGATGTTCTGAGAGGAGGTTGTTTAGCGACAAATACTCATATAGTTGGTTATATAAAATACTTTCCATAACTTTGCTTATGGCAGGCAGGCAAGACAGAGATTGCACGATAATTTGCAGCCAAATTACGCTTGCCATTCTTAAAAAGGGGGGATTATTCTTGCAACTTTCCATTCATTTGGAAATGTACATAGAATTGATTGGTTAAAAATATAGGTTAATGAATCAGAAATAACTGGAGCTGCTATTTTGACAACCTTGCTAGAAATTTCATCTAGGCCAGTAGCTTTGTTGCCAGCTAGTTGAGATAACAAAGAACAAACATGGTTTGTAGTAACTGTTTTGAATGCAGTAAATTCAGATTCAGCTTTCTTAAGGTAGTCCTTAAAATGTCATTCAGTTGTATCAATTTCAGCTATGTCTTCAGGGCTTGTTAGTTTTACATTATTTATATTTAATTCATCCACTTTAGTAGGTCTATTTTGCTTACGAATTAAACTATTAATTGTCTTCCAAGCAGCTTTTGGATTTTGGCTCTCAGAAGAAATTTTATTGGTGTAATACTCTTTTTTAGCCAGTCTTAACTGAGTATTTGTTTCATTCCTGGCTCTTTTATAGTTTTTCCAATCGGACTCATGTTTCGTTACGATTGCTCTTCTTTTCAATTTATCCCTTGTGATTATCATTTGTTTAATATGATTAGTAATCCAAGGTAGTTTTTTAGATTTTATCTTTTTACTTTGAAGAGGGGCATGTTTATCTAGAACCTGTAAAATAGCTAGCTCTTTCCAAATTTTCCACAAACTGTTGAATGGGATTGTCTGCAAAAAAAGTAGACATTCTCGCATGCTTGGATTTTAAGATCATGCAAGAACTTATTTTCATTGAAGTTTTTCATATTCCTAATTTCAATAATATTTTCGTTATCTTTATGGTTTATATTAATCTTCCTAATGGCATAAATGAGACTGTATTCACTGATTCCAGTATGAATCACACCACATTTAGAATTTTTTTCAGGTTCATTTGTAATAAAGTGACCAATAAGTGTAGATGATGTCTCAGTAATTCGTGTTGCTTCATCAATTATTTAAGTTAATTGATAAATTTCGAAAAGAGACCTTAATTTATTTGTTGGGTGATTGGGATTGGGCTTAAGTAGGTCACAGTTAAGATCACCTAGGATAAGGATTTCTTTATTTTCATTATCAATAGTTTGCAATAAATTTTCAAAACTGGTAAAAAAAATCATCTGATGCATCAGGTGGTCTATAAACTGAGACAACAGCAAATGGTCTGCTATATGGCTTGGATATTTCAAGGCATATAGCTTCTAGATCTAGTGGTATTAGGTCATGTCTAGTTTGATAATTTATGGAGTTTTGAAGGTATATACAAACACCCCCACCATTTCGATTTCTATCTTTCGCTTTTGGTTGGCTTGACTCGCGCCGGCAACGCATATTTAATAGTATATTAACCAAGTAGACATGGATTGATTTCACCCGGCCTTCGTGACAGGCTCTCTCTCTCTATATATATACATTATTTTCAAGGATTCTGCCACGCTGGCTGCTATTTCGATCACTATATAGATTGAAAGTGACAAGAGGTAAAGGAGAGGCGCTAGAAACAATTTGTTTCAGCCCCAATCTCCACTGCCATTTTGATTGCCACGAGCCTAAAAGAATGAGGAAACAATACAAAACCTTGTGGTCGTCAATTGCATTTTCATCACCACTAAGATCCTGAAGTTGATCAATTAAAGTTATTTTCCTGAAATACCGCGAGATTCTCAGTCGTAGTTCGTCCTGGTCTTTATCTCCAAAACTTGGAGACTCACAGGTAAACCGCGCGACTTGACAGCTCTGACGTTTACGTGTTAAAGAGAGTAAAGGAAATATTTCTCTATTATTTTGATGATGTTATCCTCTTCAATGACAAATATAGATCGAAACGTCATAACGGTTCTTATATGCCAATAAGTCAATATACTGTATGCAAGACTATTCAGATGCAAGTTAAATGAAAACGTTCTGTGCCTTTCCAACGTTTAAGACCTATTTCCATTTCTGTAAAAGGTGTTTCCCATTGTCGGGTAGTTGAAATAATAATAAAAACCTATACCCAATTAAATTGTCTATGATTACGTTAAAAATCCAGCGAAGACCTATCAAAGTCTTTCAAATATTAGAATATAAAAGCGATCAAGACGTCATCAGGTTTTTTGCTTGCCAATTATAAATTATATGCAAGACCTTTCAGATACATGTGAATAAAAACATTTTGCGCTTTTCCCATGTTTAGGAATCGAAATATTCCATTGTTTTAGAACTTTTGCCTTTTGTGGTAGTTAAGATGATGATAAACTGATATATATATATATATATATATATATATATATATATATATATATATATATATATATATATATATATATATATATATATATATATATATATATATACTCAATTATACTGTCCAAGGTCATGGTTAAAAGTCCATGCAGTTGAAATCCAATCATGCCAATATAATTATATTAGGAAAGAAAAAATAGTTCTGCAGAGATTAAAATCGTTATGCATAATACTATATTTAAAATCTTAAATTTCACCTTAGCCGCAAAAAAGAAGAGATTTGAGATTTGTCACCTTTCCGTAAGACCAGACGTTTACTCAAACCCTAATTAATTTAAGACTCACGGCTAAACCGCGAAACTCAGCATGCAGCTAAGTCGTAATTAGCTGTTAAAGAGAGCAAAGCTAATAGCCCTCTATTATTTTGTTGACGTTATATACTCCTGAATAATAAATAGAGGTCGAAACGTCATAGGTTTCTTGTATGGCAATAAATTAATACTATATGCAAGATTTTTTCTTCGGGTACAAGTACACACTGTTATTTCGGGGTGTTATTTTAACACCAAAAAGAGGGGTTACGACGTTTAGTCTAAAATAATCCTTTTTTAGGGGTTACAAATAACACCAATTAAGGTGTTAAAATTTAACCCCAGTTTTGGAGTTAAAATAACACTCATTGGGTGTTAAAATATAACACTTTTTAAGGAGTTAAATAAATCTAACTCCGTTTCAGCGGTTAAAAAGTTATTTCTTCCTTCGAATGTCAGAAACTTACCTTGCGAAATGGTCCATTTATATCTTAGTTTATGCTATTGTCTTTTAAAAAACATTTCCTTTGAGGATCAATATATTAAAATATCGATGTGTTGGTTGCATAGCAACTGGCAACTGCGAAGGAATTACAGTACGACCACGCTATTGTAACACGCTATCCATAAATGCACATGCACATACACGGAAGTATATAACTTTAATACTATTACTGTATTAAAAGTCAATGAATCACATGCACGGATACAATCGACGTTTGCTTGATATTTTTGTTTCATTTGCAATAAAAATATATCGAAATTGTCACATAAAGTCTTGTGTTCTGAGATATCATTGCTTTCTGAAAGACTAAAACAAGTTACCAGTAATTGACAAATTGCAAACGATGAAAATACCTGTACAACAACTATAGTCCTCGGAATATTGTGAATATACTATACAAGGTATGAATATCAAAAACCAGTTTATATTTTAACTTTAATAAAATTTAACGTTGAAAATATCTATAAAAACATTATACAATTATCTTCCTCAATATTAACTTATTTACAAAACTGTCACCATTGTACTTTTGCCAATTAAAGTCTATCCATGCATAGTGTATAA